CCCGGCTTAATAGATCTTTTTAATAACTAATGACAGGTGGTCAATTCATACTGTATATCACTTCAAGCCCTAATATCATTTTATGATTAAGTACCCTTGGTCATGCCCTTAAATATAATGCTTTTCCCATTTTTCATTGTTTACAGAGGATGAAACTTGGTTCCTGGTTGCTCCTCAGGTGCCTTGTGTGGTATTCTTATCTTAACAAATCCAGTTCTCTTCATCTGTCCTTTGCTTTTTTGTCTCCCCTGATTCTCAGCAGCTGCATTCAGACCATCTGTGTCTGAAGAACTCTTTTCTCCTGTCCTTTAACCCATTTCAAGCTGAAAAGCTAGTTTTGAATATTTTTAATCACAGAGAAATGGTGACATTTTTTAACGTGACACACTGGTTATGTGTTGAAGTGTCATGCAATTGCTAAATATGTATAATTTTGTGGCAATTAAAAGTATTTTTTATACCTTAAACACAAAAAAAAAATCACTATTTCAATCCTAAACAATAGAATAATGGTGACTGAACATTTTAAAGTAGTGAGTCTTTATCCTAAATTCCTAAAGTATCCAAATCTAGTGAAGTACAATGCTAATTTGTAAATTTCAAATGCCAATATTGACTTAGTTGTGACATTTGCACTGCTTTTGGAAACATGTGTCACTATCTTTGAAATTAAATATCTGGTGTTTCCTGTCTTGTCTCCTTCTAATGTATCTTCTTCCTCAGCAGAGACAGAGGACACTCTTTGTTCTGTAACACCATCCATGCTAGTGATAAATGAGTACAGTCTGCGGTTACATTTGCTCTTATCTCTTTTGAAGCAAAATATCTGGCAGCCTCTTATCTAAGCTTTAACAAGTGGAGATAAACCTTGATAGAAAATGTCTCTGGGCTGCCATGCTGTAACAAGAGTAAACTATTTAAACTAAAAGCAGCTGTTTGATTTTGCCCCCTGAAAAATAAATCTAAAAGTAAAATTCTCCCCAAAGGATGACAATATAGTTTTCAGTCAAGTGCAAACATAACTATCCTGGACATTTATCTGTGATGAAGGTAGACCTTTGCAAATTAAGTTGTTTTGGTTTCATAACTAAAGTGACTAGCGAGATAATGTTCATTCTGTTATACTGGCAACGTCAGCACACTGGTGCTAATGTAGCTCAGGTTATTTAGCTTGGGGATATCTCTACTGTGTTTTTATTAATAAGTCAGTTTGCAAGATTTGAACTTGTTCTAGCATTTGGGTTTCTCCAGAAAGATCTCAGAGTAGATTATTGCTTAGAAAAAGTCAATTCTAGAGCCCCCTCCCTTTTAGAAGAGTGTAGAAAAAGCAATCATCAAATAAAGGAAAGGAATAAATATCATTATTGACAAAGTCAGATAGTAAATATTTTTTATTATGAGGGAGAGAGTTTGTATTTTAAATTGGAATGCCATCTTCTTGATGTGAGGCTTGCTAGCTTCCCTGAGCTCATTCTGATATAGTGAAATGTACACACAGATTGAGTGCCTTTCTTTCCTTAACACTAACCCTTGGTAATGTTACTAGCATTTTCATTTGCACAAACATTATACTGATAAATATTAAAATATATACCAATTTGAAGATTTTCTATCCATTTCTCTTTTTCTTTCTTTTCTCCCTCCTTCTCTTTTACGCAGAAAAGACAGTTTTCCAGTTGAACAAAAACTATTTTCCCTCACAATTGAGTTATTTTTAAAATATGTGTGTGTTTATTTTAAATGTGTTTTAAACATAATATTTTGTGTCTAATATTTTGTGATTATAATATAATAAACACACACTCCCTTGTACCTAGTCACTTTTTTTCTTTTAAATTCACGGCATTTTTTTTATTTGTTACTTTCTCTCTCTCTCTCTCTCTCTCTCTCTCTCTCTCTCTCTCTCTCTCTCTCTCTCTGTGTGTGTGTGTGTGTGTGTTCCTTAACACACAAATATAATCTGATTAGTCTACGTAATGCTATTTGTATGTATGTTCTCAGAGATGACGATTTAATATTGGATAACTAATTTGTGTGCCCTTCCCTGGAGAAGATTATTCTCCCTGCTCTTAGCATTTCTTAGCTGCCTATAGTTCTTTGTCTAGGGCTTGAGGACCCATGAACTTTCATGCTTCCACCTTAACCTGTCTCTTGGCTTTCTCCTTATTCAGGTTAAGTTTATGCAGCCATGTTGGTAAGACTTGAGGGGTGTGTAGCTTCTCTGGCATTTCTCGGAATCATCCTCTCACAGTAAATGCCCGGTTCTCCGGCACAGCAAGCTCCTCCTTCCTTTTTTCCACAGTGATTTGAGCCTGAGGTGCAGGAGTTGTGTTGTAGATGTATCAGTTGGGACTGGAATCCACACCAAGTAGTATGGAAAAGCCAATATTTAGACCATGCAGACTTAAACTAGGACATGCACTTTAATGGACATCTGAAGGAATCTCCTTTCATGACTTTTAGAGGAAGGAAGGCACCAATTTCAAGTTACCTAACTGTTCTTTCTAACTCCTTCACTCTGGCTTTAAGACACACATTTAATCTCAAGTTAACATCAAAGTTTAATTTAGAATCAAAGGTGGTTTTGATAAGCATTTGGAATGTGAAGAGTGTATATCACAAACAAATAACTTTCACCCTGGATTTTCTTGGGTCGATTCACTGTTCCCTTCTTAGTTAATCTTCGTAGTGAACGTCACACTTAAGAGTGTCACTTCATTTTATCTTTCTCTTTGAGCACACTATAATCACTGAGCAAGTTTGGTGTGTCTCATATGGTATTTTAGTTGTAGTTCTTGCTTGAGTAGTATGGAACTTAGAACAGATGAGTTTAAGTCTTATAGTAATTAAAATTATAAAGTATTTTCCCTTGTTCTCCAAGCACACCATAGTCATGACTTTATGATCAAGGAGCAGCATACTCTTGATTCATATTCCAGGGCAGAAGTAACTGAAAGGTGGCTATACGGGAATTAAATTTATGTGATGAAATGAAAGCTGAAATCATTCCTCAAAGAATAGACTTCAGGATTTATTATCTCCATGTTGAAGTTGTTTAAATAATGCTATGAGAAATGCAAGCTTCAGTTTTTCTTAACTTTCCATATCTATTCTGTGAATTAGCATGTTCTCAGTAGGCATTGAGCATATAAATGACTTCACTATGAGGTTGGATAAGAGCAATATGCAAAGAAACAATTGTAGAAAAATTGTATCTAACTGACTTGATTCCTCTGCTTTTTCATAGTTCTTCAAAACGGGTAAAAAGTGGTTTTACTAGAACAAGGTGCTTTGGGTAGTTAATACACAAGCTCTGGATGCAACAAACATTGCATCTACAAGTATCACAGATTAATTATTTCCTCTTGCTTTCTTAAAATCCTATGCAATTCTTTGAACTAATCAGCTAATAGAAGACAACTTATCAAGAAGCTTATTTAAATACTGATTTAATTTTTTTTCATGCTTTTTCCCCCTTTGCAAATTTTAATTCATTTTAACTTTGATAGTAATTTTTAGTCTGTATGTTCCTGAATCAGACATATTAAGATATAATGTTAATCTTTAAGTTTTTCAAATCCTATCTCCTTATTTTCTGTAACTATTTAATTTACAATTGGTGGTTTATATCCTTGTAGATTGCACAAATGTGAAAAGCTGAGCACCACCCTTTATGGATGCCATGTGGTCATGTACTCATGACCCTGAGCCCTGGCTGAGCCCTGGCTGAACCCTGGCTTGGTCCCTGACAACATCACACTGTCCACTTTATACATGTATTCTCTAAAAATTAACTATTTAAATAATGACACTACATCTTTAGGGAATTTTTAAAATTTAATTTGTTATACATCCCGATTGCAGCCTCTCCTCCCACTCCCTTGCCCCTCCTTCCTCCCCTCCACATCTAAGTCTCCTCCGTATTTGCTCAGAAAGGGACTGGCCTCCCCTGGGCACCACCAGAAAGACATGGCCTGTCAAGCTGCTATAAGATCAAACACCTCCCCCTGTACTCAAGCTGGGCAAGGTAATCCAGCATGAGAAATAGGTTCCCAGGAGCCACCCAAAGCACCAGGGACAGCCCCTGTCTCATTATCAGGAGTCCCACAAATAGTCTCACATATGCAGAGGG